AATCTGCTCCTCTTATTTTTATTAGGCTAAGCTTTAAGTTTTTATTCCTTTTTGATAGCATGTTGTCTGCTATACAGAAGCACATTAGTGAAATTCTTTCATCTGTATCACATGTATCACAATTGAATTCAACTATTTTTAATAACATGAACATTCCTTAGAAAATCTGTTTGTTCTATTTTTAAAATATGTAGACTTAATTTTATATGTCAATATATTATCTGCTTCGTAATTTTATATGTCAATATGTTATCTACTTCGTAATGTAGTAATTTGGTTAAAACAAAAAAAAAAAAAGGAAAAACAATGAAAAGAGATTATTTTTGTACAAACGGATATTTTTATAGGAACAGATATGAAAAGGAAGTTTTTCAAGGAACTTTTTTTCCTAAATTAGCCTTTTATTAGATAAAGAAATATTTATTTTGACAAAACTTCTTAATGTCAGTATTATCAACTATTTTTGTATGTAATTTAATTGTTGTATAAGCGATTATTAATTCTTTGAACTCGATTTGTTTTCAATGTTGTTGCGCGTCCACTTGTATTTATTTCAATACAAATTAGATAAATTAATGTACAACAACAAAATTCAATGTTTTTTACTTATTTATTATTATCATATTAATATTATTATATTAATACTAATACAATGTGTTTTATTTAATGTTATTATTATATTAATTTATTTTTAATAATTTTTTAAAGTGTGATAATTTTTAAAACAATTTCCAACGTGCAAGATGGCATGTTCTTTGCAAAAGTAAACTGTCTTCCTTTCTTCGTCCTTAGTTTTTCTTTTTAAACAGACTGTACAATCATTATGCTTTCTTTGCAAACGAAGTATCAAAATGTGTAGTCAATTCTCGAAATCTGATATTGATCGTCTCTCCTGTCTGTTTTGTTCATTATCTGAAATTTTCCCCTAAGAACACTATTATTAGAACGCAGATGGATAATTGGTTTCACTTTATTTCTATTGTATGAAATTTTATATAAAATGTACGAATTTGTGTATCATGTTTCCAAACCCAAGAAAAAAAGTGTGCGCCACCATTTAATCAAAGGTCACATAGAGACCATCGCTAATAAGAGGTTGTAGCCTCTTTAATATTACTCTTTCTAGTAGTTTTGATAACACTTGTAGGAGGGATATTGGCCTATATGATGATGTCTCTTGTGGTGGCTTTACCGATTTGAGAATAAATAAATTATCTCTGCAAATTTCCATTGTATAGGAAAGTAGTGGAGGAGTGTGACTACATTGTATATGTAGGTTATCACAGCTAAGATTTTTCTAGGTAGCTCTTGAAGTAGTTTTGCGGTAATTAAATTATATTCCGAAGCCTTCTTACTATTTAGTAATTTTATTTCTCTTGCGATTTCTGCTTTGTTTTTGGCACTACATTCATCAATCTTCAAAACATGCCAAATCGTCTCTGGGGAATAACCAAAAATCGGTCGTCACACCTGGATTTCGAGCTTCGTAACTTTATTTTGTTATACGCGAATTTTTACCCATTTCGCGAAATATTTAAATCTTTAAATAACGTGACGTCATGCTGCATGCATGAAAATTACATACGCTGAGTGAGTCGAAGAACCTACGACTAGAGGTTGAAACATATATGAAACGATCAATTGTATCAAAAAAAGGTTTTAAACAAAAATTTGGAAGGTCTCGAAAGGATTTCGTTAATCGATGTAATTGTACTTTTCAAAGTTGACTTATTGGAGGTGTTTGAGACCAAGATCAAGTTTGTTTTATTCAATCCAGCTCGACGTTCTCTGTAACATCAAACCATTTAGAACGAAAAACTACTAGTTCAGGATGTTGTGACTTGCTCTTACAGTCGAGTTTAGCTTCTGGTTATTTCGAAGTATATTTAAATTTTATATCAATGGATCGTAAAATAGTCTTGTCAAGAGTAATAACCGACTACCGAGCAGCAACCGTTTTGACTCATGCAGTGCTTTTGAGCCCTGATCTAGTAAATAATAAAGGGAATGAGTCCGAAATACAAACTAGATCATGATTCAGAATGCAAAAATGTTTAATATCCTTGCGCTAACAGGAGATGTTTTAACTAAAATATTGCAGTGTGATACTCATTCAAAGTCAAATTCTGTGATTTTGCTCTTTAGAATCGGATAAGACAGATTATTTCGTTCACCAGATTCGAATCCATCAGATCTTTATTTTCTTTTGTCTGTCGAATCTAAAAGATAAAGTCTGATGTTGTTATAGACCAGCAACCGTTGAAGACACATGTTGAAAAATGTAGAAATATCACTGCTGATGTTAACCCTCTATGGGCCGAATTTTTTTCTTAAATATAAAAAAATTTATGCAACGGAAAATCAACAATTATAAACCTATATATGCAGATTAAAAAAAAATTACCAGTTTAAACAATTTCATTATAATTAATTCACTTTGTAACTTTGAAGTAACAACGGCTTACAATGTTTGCACTTCTATGCATAAAAGCTTAAGCGTAAAATTTCATAAAACAGCTTTGTAGTCCCATTTTTTAGGCATATACTGTTTTAGCCTGTGTCTTCCTTTAAATGGCATTATTTGCTCGTCAACAAAAAGGTGTTCAACCATCGAAATGCGATTGAAGTTTTTAACCAATTTGTCGAGAATAGATCTTATTTTTCTAACTATCCATAACCTCTGAATTGTTTTTGTGGTCCTTAATTTTCCTCATCTGATTCAGTACTAAATTCATCGTCACTGTCAATAATATTTATGCGTCGTCGGGTAAATACTATTGGATGATCTTCGTCGGACTCAGAATCTAATAAAGACTCTTCGGATCTATTACCGTTAATGCGTTTAATTTTAATTCCTCTTTTATTTTTATGTGATTTTGTATTCATATTTTGGGTATATGATATATAAATCTGAAAATGGAAAAAAGTACAAGCATTATCCTAAATATACCGAAATCTACCATAATAGCCCACTGTAACCTGAAAATCACAAAACTGTCTCATATACAAATAGTAACAAAATGATTATTGAAATGCAAACATATAAGTTGTTATTGATATACAAACCCAGAGCTATTATGTACGCTTTTGTTTGTAGCGGCCTAGAGTCCCTCGAGTACGAGTTTCGAACACCGACTCGTACAAGCCGCAAGTGGCTGTGCGCCTAGCGTTGAAATCTAACGATATTCGATGTTAAGCAAACAGAGAGTGCGGAACACCGCTAGGATGGGTGGGGACCGGTCCAGTCTAGCGAGTAGTTAGAAAAAACAAGCGTCTGGGGTGTAAGGGGTCGCTGCCATCAGCCCCACTGATGAGTAGGCAGCGACTCTGAGACGAAACGCATTTCCTCACCTTTACTCATCTCCTTCCTTCATCCTCGCATAAACACTTCAGATCCCTTCATGTTGTTTACTAAACACCGACAGAAACACAAATAATGTTAATTGCATAATATGGTTCCGTTTCTATCTGCAGACAACTTGCAAGGCATTTACTTTGATATTTCAAGTTAATGGTACTGCCAACCGTCATCAATATTGATATTGATATTGGATATTGATATTGGAGACATTATATAATTAAGATGTATACGTCATCTTGTGAAAAACTAAAATTATTTGGTAATGTCGATAAATTAGCATATGACCTGAAAGTTACGTAGGCCCATAGAGGGTTAAATAATGTCAAACATTCTGTAAGACTTAGATTACAAAAGTGATCGTTATTTTCGTGCAGTAGTGACATAAGAAATTATTTCATTCCAATTGCAATAAATAATTAGCCTCGTGTTATTACTAATGGTGCTGTTACAAATAAATTCGATACTCTGTAATTATCAGTTTGAATTATTTTAATTATAATATTTCCTTAATTAATTATTTTCCGATATAAACAGTTTAATACTTTTTTTACAGATCCTTCGACGAGCTCAACCGAGTAATGTTTTAGAAAAACAAACGTTTTTCTAACCTAAAACATCCTAGAAGGTTTTTCTAACCTAAAACCTAAACCTAGATGAATCTAGGAAAGAGTCATCTATGCATCAACGTCAAAAAACAATAATTATCAATTAATTAACGCCTTTTGAAACCATTCAATTTTTGTCTAACAATAAGATACTCTTGGATACAACTGGATATTTCCAGTCTTAAGTGACTCATGTCTGTACACAAGTGTGTCTTTTGTAAAAACGATATAATAATTAGAATTAAATGCTTCGCTTTCCCTTTCACTTCACACCTTAAAAATTACAATCGGTTTACGTAACGCGAGAATTACTCAAGAAAAATCAAATTGAAGAAGGTAACGTGAGGTATAATTCCATTTCATTCGAAGCGTTAAAGGAATAACCTCCGTATTTCGATAAAGTGAAAATAGATTTCTATATCGCGTCGTATACAGCGTTTCGATACAATCAATAGAATTTGCTTTCGAAGCAACAGCACTGCTTAACGCAATTACGTGCAATGACTATGTTTTTTTTGAAATCAGGATGAAATTTACGTTATCGCGAAATTATGATGTTTACCAGGAAGTATTACGTATTTACGTGCAATGTGCCTTCAAACAAAACAAGGTGGATGGCTCTAGAATTTACTATGTAAATGATAATTATTTTGAACGAACTTGTCAGTCGGCTTCGCTAATCTGATAAGCTCGAGACGACATGTTTAAAGAAAAAAGATGTTGAATAATTCCTTTATCTTTCTTTATCAATCACACTGTTCCTATTTTTATACTCGAACGCTTTGAAAATGCATCGCAAAAGAGTATTTTGAACGAAAGGAATGAGAAATGTATTAGTATTGAAATAGTATCTCTTCTAGCCAACCAATCCGTAATAGAGATATATATTGTTCAATTAGCAATCGACCATTTGAAACTTTCCTCTTCAGCAATGATGCAGCAAAACGTCTAAATGCAATCTACGCAAACTCAATCGGCTATCACGAATGATAAAGTTGGTTATAAAAGCGTTGTTAGCGGGAGGGTAACGCGATCGTGACCCAGCATAGACTGTGCGTAAACTGGGAGGGAGTTGAAAGACATTGAGAGGTTCCTGCACGTCGAAAACATAGTCGAAAATCCCCTGTGTAGAACTGGTTTTCATCGAGTGGCGACTCTTCGTACAATTAGTTTGCTTGGTAAGCTGTCACAGTGAGCATCGTCACGTTATTACAGTCGCCGCTGCAATCCATGGATACGCCATAATGGACTATCTACCGATCGCTTTGTCACTGGTGGTGCTGCTCGTTGCTCTCTATCACTCTACCACGGAATCACAATTTGTTCAAGAAGCATGGAATCGTGCACGTTCCGCCGACGCCGCTGTTTGGGATCGTTCGCAAAACGGCAGATCACCATATCGGATTTAATTGTCAAGGCTTATCAACTAGATCTCAAAGCGAAATACATCGGTTTCTACGAATTTCTCACGCCGATAATTGTACTGAGAGATCTAGATCTGATCAAGACTGTCATTATGAAGAACGTCAACCAATTTTCAGACCATCGTCCGCTAGTGAACAGAAAAGTGGATCCCATGCTGGGAGGAATGCCATTTATGCTGAACGGTGATCAATGGAAGGATCACAGAAACATGCTATCACCGACGTTCACCTCCAGCAAGATAAAAACCATTTTCAAACTGATGTCGGAATGCGTAAGCAGATTCGCCGAGCATTTGTAGAATTTATCGGAAAAACAACGTGATCGCCAGCTGCGTCTACAACGTGTCCATCGACTCTGCCAAGGAACCGAACAACGTGTTCTGCGTGTAAAGTAGAATAAGCATATCGTTTGCGACGTTCAAGAGGTCCCTGATAATCTTGATACACAGGAACGCTCCGTGGTTAGCGGAGCTGCTGCAACTCAAGGTCGTTGATAGTCACATTGCCAAATTTTTTTACGACCAAGTGGCAGAGACAGTGGAGACCAGGCAACAAACCGGTGCTCGCAGGTCAAACATTCTACAGTTCTTCATGGACAATAACTAGAAAAGAGAGACTGGGAAAAAGATGACTGTGCACGAGATGGCGAATCATGCGTTCAACTTCTTCTTTGGCGGTTTCGACACCGTCGCGTCGCAAACCTGCATAGTGGCGCACCTGTTGGCCGAGAATCCGGACGTTTAGGAAAGGGTGCAGCAGGAGATCGACGAGACGTTGGAAAATAACGGTGGGCTGACCTACGACGCGATGCACGAGATGAAGTACCTGAATCAACGAAACCTTACGACTTTATTCAATCGCTCTGTTTATGGACAAGATGTGCGTCAAAGATTTCGAACTGCCGCCGGCGCGACCCGGCGACAAACTATTTATCGTCAAGGCAGGAATGAACATCTGGATTCCCGTGAGTGGGATCCACCAGAATCCGAAGTACTACGAAAATCCCTTGAAATTCGACCTGGATAGATTCTACGAAAACAATTAGACGGTCATCAATTCGGGCACGTACATGCAGTTCGGTCTTGGACCGAGAATGCGTATCGGCATACCGATTCGCGCTGATTCGAGATGAAAGTGCTGCTCTCATGTTCTCGCCAAGTGCAGCATCAAACTTGCGCCGAGAACGATCACCCCTTTGCAGTTCGAGAAAGGCATGTTTAACGTCACCGGGAAAAACGGATTCTGGCTGGCCATCGAGCCAAGGAAAAGTTCTTATTGTTTATCCACTGTTTCTGCCAACGCTGTTTCTTGGAGTCGATAGTGAAACGAAAATATTATCAATATTATGCATGTTGGTGTTAGATGTTTAATCGCATGTACGACTTCAACATGGGCAAATAAAGATTTTATAGTACAAATTTTGTCCTTCGCATGATCAAACCACAAACGTTGTAACGCGCTTGTTGAAAATGCGTTCACTCCAGTGGAGCAGTTTCCGTATCTTGCAATTCATTGAAAATGTGAAATTGTCGATACGATACGAGCTTTGATGATACGAATCTAATTGTAAAATTTGAGCACGACTCTATTTGTAAAATTCGACTCTTAACTTATTGATAGTAGAAAAAATAACGAGAAATCGTTTCTAGGGGCGATTATTGCTTTTGTTCCGCGTGTAGCATTTCGAATTTCTGCGTCATTATGTAGATAAACTATCCGATATCTCTGAAGGTTAGACGCAACGAAAACAGCCATCTTTAGCCCACAAATCAAAGTACTTACTTCGTATCTATGTACAAAGCGTGTTAATTTATGTGTTATAGGGATGAGAACTTTTCTGCTACAGTTTTGTTATAGCACAGCGTGTATTGTGGCCGCTTCGGCTAATTTTATTCCGTCGCATATGATTTAAATTAAAATTCGAAAAGATTTAATTCGATTCAACACCGTGTATGTTTTGCCCATGGAATTTCGTATCGTTGTTTGCAACATTAGTAAAGGAACATTGTTAGTTGTAACATTTGTGTTTTTTTTACAAACTGTTTGTTAAATATTTAGCAATTTAGCAAAGATTTAACAGAGTTAAGATAAATATTTTCAGTTTAAACAGAACATTCTCATTTACACGTCCGTGCGAGTAACCATATGAGACAATATTGAAGAAAAAACGGATAGCTAGGTAATTTACACACACACACACACATTAATATCCGTATTAAGATAAAAACATCTTGTCGTTTAGGTTAATCACTATCTCTCGTGTACGCATCGTACAATAAAGTACAAAATTTCAAAAAAAGTCATTAGGAAAATAATTTCAAGAAGAAAATTATTAGAATATTAATTTTTTGAGATAATGACTTATTTGCTGAGTACTTGTGTTTCATTTATCTAGAAATTAACTTATAAATTGTACAAGCGGTGGTTAGCACAGCGGTAATGATACATATATAAATATGTGGATAAATAAAATTATACACACACACACACACACACATATATGTACAAAATACCCTCAATAATTTTATTTATCTACATATATATATATATATGAGATAAAGAAAACTATCAAGGGTATTTTGTGTTTAAACGGATGAATCAATTTTATAATCATCAAAGCAATTTGTTTCGATTAAAATTTCTCTGTTATACAATACAGAAGATTTGTAACTAGTGATACAATCAAATACAGGGTCTATATAATAAGAAGAAAAATAACTAAAATAAAAGTATAAAAGAGAAAAATTTTTTTTCGTCCGACGCTTTGTTTTTAAAAAGATTTTGAGGATGTTTGCTAGTGTGAGATGACAGATTGAAGTAGACTCGTGTTCGTGGTTAACGAAGTTTATTTCACTAGGTTACACGAAGTTGCGAATACAAAAAACGCGGTGAACATGTCGTCGATCGCGTTATGTTCACGTCGCGGGTTTATTTGTCCGTATCGCGGAGTCCGAATTCTTCTCTCCGCTGCTTTTTCGCTATGAGGAAAACTCCCGAATTGACCTAATCGTTTTTGAGTTTTAGCCAATTGAGTTGTCACGAAATTACACCGCCTACTCCTTGCGTTTATGACGCACTTTCTCTGAAAGTGGGGCTGCAATTTCGCCGGAACCGATTTCCTTAAATTGTGGCGATGTAGGGTTTCCTCTGGGCCTCACTTGCTTTCTCCAAGTATTTTCCAGATGCTGATTTGGGTGGCCCTTAGGAATCCAAGAGTTTACGACGTTTCGCAGAAATGCTATTGTGGCCGAATTTCTAAAACTGTAAGTGCGGACGTCTGGTCCTACGCACTGTAAAAACTAAATTTGGCCTTCTCAATTCAATAGCGTAGGCGACACGTGAGTTGTAAATTCTCCTAACTGTTCTGTCTGAGAAAACGTCATTTCTCCGACATCTGCTAGCCGCTACAAGATCAGCTCTGATATTTTATCTAGCACTATGTATATTTAAGTAAGACTTGCCAGTATCTCGTAGTAAATTAGTATTACTAACATTGCTCGTATTTGTAAACATTTTCAGTCTCACAGAAATGCGTTGAAATTTAATCACTTTGAAAATATTGTTGTAAATATTTCCCATGTTCATGTATATAGTCATACACATTTTTTTAAGATGCAGCGACCACTGTGCAATAACTGGTGTACTGCTACTTCATTGCATCAAATGCAGAAACAATCTTTTTTTTTAATTGAACAATGTCTGTAACTTCATAAATAATTTAACGTGACTTTGCAAATAAAATTCCAGATAAAAAAGTGCTAGATAAGACTAAAAAAACTTTTACTTCTTCCTTTTCAATCTATTTCTTTCTGGTACAACTGCCCTATATCACCAATTATGAACCATCCTGTATAACTATTGAAAATGTCGAAATTGAACACGATGATATTAGAAAATAAATAATTCGATTATTCATGCAATATTTGTAATATATATAACAGCGTTGATCAGAAAAAAGAAAGAGAGAGAGAGAGAGAGAGAGAGAGAGAGAGAGAGAAAGAGAGAGAGAGTGGAAGAGAGCAAAGAAACAGAGAAAAAGCACGAGCGAAATCTCGGAAGAAAAAGAAGAAAAAAAAGAGCAAAAGGAAGAAGAGAAGTGAGATTCGTTTTTTGTCTTAGCACGAACATACTTATGATCTTCAGTTCATTAATTCTAATCAAAAGCCAGGCCTTGATGCTGTTGGTTCGATCACTATCCTCCGCACTCGAGGCTCTCCATTTCTCATCTCTTCCCCGGACGGTCGAACTGTGACTAAAGTGAATTACATTAGAAGGCAGAAAGTAGTTTTATCGAGTCAACCTGCCAGATATTTCCTAAAGCACCGACCATGGATAGTCGGACTGGAAAAGAGGGAATAGGGAGCTACTTTTAACAACGTCCAACGTTCTTTTCAAGATATCGCGCAACACGTAATTCGCATACTCCCGAATTACTGAATTATATGATAATTATAATATCAGCTTCTCCGCTTCGTCAAATTTAACTTGTTGATCGTTTACAAAAATATTCGCGTTATGCGTTGTTCGTTATCTACTTTTTCCAATCTCACCGTTATTATTAACTATGTAGTTAATTAAGGTCCATTATGTGACCAGAGATATACGACTTGATACTTTCTTTTCCATTTTTTCTCTGATTTCTGTTGTTAAGTTGAAGATGAACTGCGAACAGATCGTCGAGATTGAAAGATTACTTTCTTTCTCTTTTTTCCATTCGTTCATTTGAAAGAAGATGTTTTTTGAGTATTAATATTATGAACAAGTTTCTCATGACGTGTGTCGAGTCAAGCTTTCGAATGATTCACAAAACACTGCCTGTAATATAGAGTTATCCATTTATGACACGCCTTTGCATGACACATACATCGTGTATAAATAAAAGACAAGAGGTAGATTACGTCAAATCTGCCAAACACACACATACTAACGTATACGTTGTTACAAACGCACGATTGTAGGCAAAATTCACTATAGTGGCGCCAACAGAACTTTTTTTACGAATTTTTCGCAAACTAGTACAAGAAAAGTTTGGAAGGATGCATGCGGACAAATCAGTGCCCAAAAAACACAATAAATCAGGAAAATCATCAAAAAAGATTGGAAAGCATCTTACGGATGAATAAATAGAAAAGAAACTTCTTATCGTTAATATTCAGAAAGAACGATCGTACATACATACTGTGAATACATATCTCCTCTCCGTATCAGCAAAGATATTTCAGTGTTATAAAGCAGTAGGCGGATGTTATTGTTGTTGGTTTCAAAATTTTTAAAATTCATATGTTATGTTATTTTGGGAACGATAAC